CGAAACTGCCCACATACGTTTATATATGTATGAGTCCCGACGGACGACCAAGTATGTATATGTGTCTGCATACATCGATGTTTGCGTTAGTACGATGAATGACAAAACGACGAAATTTCCCCCACCACTTCCACAATAACACCAATACACGCAATCTACATAAACCCAAATTTTTTAAAACATTAATCAGTTTGTCTGACGATCGCTAAAGCGTGAAACCCAGGGTCACAAACTCACATCTATCCAACCAAATATGTTAGCTCTAACTCCGATATTGAGCGCTTTCTAATAAGTACCGCGCATATAATATATAAATAATTATACATATATATATATATATTTATTTATATTTATATATACGCTAACAGTTTTTTTCTATCGCTATTTTGCTTGTGGAACTCTCTTCCGTCTTCTTGCTTTATTTTCAATGAAAATACAATGTCAATTGTGTTTGAGCCAATAAGCGTGAGTAAATAATTATAAATCCTCTAACATTTATATATCCAGAAATAATCGTAAAAATGAGAAACAGCTAGACGTGGAAACAACAAAACGAGTATTATTTATTATCTAGCTGTATCGTGATGTTGGAAACCCAAAATACAGTAATACTGATTAAAATTATGAGTTTTTAGTATTAAGAAATAAATATTACGGCATGAAGAGGAAAAGGAAAGAACAATTTTCGTTGAAGCACATGTTAACGACCTGTTCGTGTGAAATGCTTGTCCTATAGTGAGAATATCGCTTCGCCTCGTTCCCAAGTAACTTGACTCTCGGATATAAGGCCGATGCTGGCTGTCCGCACCGAATGAACCTGACTCCCGCCGCGGGCGGCCCAGATCTAGAGAACTTCGAACTTCAAAGATTTAAGTGCAATGTCAATTGTGTAAGGGGAGATAATAGTGAGTAAATAAATGTCTATATTTCTGAGATGAAGTATTATGTACATTATTTCCCCAAGGACACATGGCACAGTGGATAAAGGCGTTAGTTAGATCCAGTGACAGGACCCAAAGAGTGTGAGTTCAATACCCGGTTAAGGCAGTGGAGAACTTTCAGAGGGAAATTAGCAGGAGATAACTGATAACTGACATCCATTTAAACATGACACGTGGAACTAGAAGAGTCTACCCCAGTGAGCAAAATAAAGGGTTCTGTTCGACATTCCAAACACCCGAAGAAGGCCGCGGCGTACAACGGCCGAAACGTTGTAATAAATATGGCGACAAAGATGAGGACAATAATCTGAATAATGTAAATAGTGAGTAAATAATTACAAAAAAAAACTAACATTTATATATACAAAAATCCCTTTTAAAACGAGAAACAAGAACAACAAAACAAATCAAATGTACATCAAATATGGATCGGAATCTGATAGAATGATAAAATTAGGAATAAGTAAAGAGTATACAGTGGTTAATAAATAAACAGCACATCTACTAAAATGGGAGTGGCCATTATTATTATTATTATTATTTGTTATCTAGCCGTATTATGATGTTGGAGACACGAGAGACATTAAGACTGATTAAAATTATGAGTTTTGGGTCAAACGTAGATCAAATATGGATCGGAATTCGACAGAAGGATAAGATAAAGGATAAGCAAAATTAAGAAGGAAATGATGTCTATACGTAATATAATATATTTCTATATTATTTGAAATTGGACATTTAGAAACTGATTGCTAATAGAGGGTTGAAAACTAATTACAAAGCGACCGCCCGAGTGCCAGTAGTAATCAAGCCGTTTTCCCAAACGAGTATTGTGAAAGGAGGCTTGAATTTTGCTGCCTTGTGCCACAAGCAAATTGGTCCCAAACTGGTTGCAGATTCCCACTGCCATAACATAGCTTCCCTCTGCCTTTTCTATAATGACTTTCATGACAATTGTTCTGATAAACTCTCCTCTAGCGTAACTAGAGTTTATGAATTTAAGCTGAATACTAGATTATTGGCAAGATCTCATCATTTTACAGTTTAAATGGCTAGACGTAACCATCAGTTCTAAGCTAACAATTTCTTTCTATCGCTTATAGAAATCACTTTCAGCTTCTTGATTCCTAGTCAAGTTTGATCTTTAAAGATTTAAATGCAATGACAATTGTGTATGGGGGAAGATAAGTGTGAATAAATAATTTAACATTTATATATCCAAAAATACTCGTAAAAATAAGAAACAGACGTGGAAACAACAAAACTTGCATTATTTCTTATCTGGTTGTTTTGTGGTGTTGGAGAAACGAGAGACAGTAATACTGAGTAAAATTATGAGTTTGGGGGTCAAATGCAGATCAAATATGGATCGAAATCTGATAGAATGATAAGATAAAGAATAAGTAAAGTATATACAGTGGTTAATAAATAAACAGCGTATCTACTAAAATATGAGTGGCCATTATTAAATATTGTTTTCAGCTAAAACAAAAATATCATCTACATGTTGGACATATATTTTAGGTTAAATAACTTTTTTTCTATTTCTTTAACGCCTACATGTCTCACGAATGAAAAATTAAAATCTAATCACATGACGCTTTTTTCCTCTTTGTACTCTAGCCAAAAGGTCAAAGCTTGTCAGATATAATTCCTTAGGAGAATACCAGTTTGAATCCTGCCGTAGAGCGCATATTTTTCTTTAATAAGATTTCTGAAATATTCAGGCTGGTAGACGAAAATAAATAAACACAGTGATTAATAAATAAATAGCGCATCTACTAAAATATATGTATCCACTAAAAATAAAGTTTAAGTAATAAAAATCTGTTGGATTAATCAATAAAAAATGTATCCCCTTCTTTAGAAATTGCTTTGTTTACATTAGGATACAAAACTGAGTCAATATGTCTATTTTGAGAGTCACAGAAAAATCTATCTAAGGCACTATACAACATTCCTTGGTCATCGATGCACTCTGTAGCTTAGAGGTGTAAGCATGTCAGATGGAATTATATATATGTAGTGGAGAGAAGGAGAAAGTATAAATGTAAACATTTGTTTTATAATTAAGTGCTGAGAAGAAATGGTGAAGATGTAGGAAAGTTAAATTTGAAAATTCCTCAGACAGATTCTTTTGTCTTTGTTTTTCTGTGTAGCTAATTAATTTTTACGCGGTGCAGTTGTCAATTTGACGTTCAATTGGTTTTGACTTCAGAGACTGCCTGAAACTAAACTTGCAACTAGGCTGGCATATCGACCCCACTCTTTTGAAACGGTTAAATGTAACCGTTTCTTTTACATCCACAGCTTCTTTATCAGGCACTTCCCGACAGTGAAACTCTCTTCCTCTTACTTGCTTCCCTGATAGCTATAATCATTAAATATTCAAATGTAATGTCAATCGACATCTTCTGGTGTCTTGATCCTGCTCTCCGTCCTTCTCTATATCCTTCTCTCAAACACCCCCCCTCTTTAATCTTGCTCTCACTCTCTGTAATCCCTTGCGTGCTAATGGCACTCCCGCCTTGGTTAGGTTGAAATGCTTAAAAATATATATATTGCGAACGAAAGCTAGAAAATTCAGCTTCTGCTATTTAATCCATAGATGTGGAGGAGAAAAGATGGACTCATATCTTTCCCAAAGACTTTCCCAGTTATTTGAACTCTGTCGATTCCATTTCCAGTGCAGTTAGCCGCTAACGCTATACATACACACTTACTAGCGTCAATAAAGCAGTTGGAAATTTGATATTTTTTAGGATTTCAATAATATTCCTTTAATTGTTCTAAATTACTATTTTAATTAATTACTCTAAAATTACTCTAAATTAATATTCTTTCAAATTATTTCAGTTGTTTTATTTTTATCAAAAGAATTTGAAATACTAATTTGTAATCAAAAAGTTGTTATATAATTATTCAAATCATAATAATAATAAATAAATAAATTAATAAATTAATAAATAAAACTGATAATAATAATAATACAATACGCGCAGACGGAACAATAAAAGCTAATCGCCCAGACGCGGTGACCAATGAACAGAAAAAAGAATATGCTTTATAAATGAAATGGGGTTTCCTGCAGACTATAATGTATTGTTTATCTTCAACAAATTATCAAAATACAAGGATCTTCATGTGAAAATCTCAGAAATATGACACATAAGGACATAAATCCAGTTGTAGTTGAAGCCCTCGGTTTGATTTAGAAAGATTACGATATACTCATTGAAGTGATCCCTGGTAGTCCATGTCTTAAAGAAATTAAAACAAATTGTACTCACACGCACAGTTCACACATTACGAAGATTTTTATATATTTGTGACCTTTGGTGGTCTTTTCATTTCTTTTACCAAAATTGTTCAGTGTAAAATGTCATGGTGACATTTCTAAGTTTGTGAGGAGCGGGAAAAAAATGAATATACAAGAGAAATCAAAGGAAATAAATAATGGTAATAATATACATTATTTACATTATTCGGACTATTGTCCTCATCTTTGTCGCCATATTTATTACAACATTTCGGCCGTTGTACGCTCCGGCCCTCTTCAGGTGGCTGGAACGTCGAACTGAACCTTTTATTTTCGTTCACTGGGGTAGACTGTTCTAGTTCCACTTGCCATGTTTTTTTAAAGCTGATCGTTTTGTGTTCATTTTGTTTTTTCTTCTTTTTTTTGTAAGAAATTTAATGTTTAGTATAGAAAAATTCGCAGTGTGAGAAGGGCAAAAATATTTTAAGTCAAGTGATAGTGATTGCTGTATGAGTCGTACGATTTTTGAATCAAACACGGGCAACGCCGGGCCATGCTGCTATTTTCTATATAAATATCACAGTTTAAATGTTTTGTTTTTTTTACATGCCCGAGTTTGTCTCGCTAGGTTAATTCTGACTGAGAGGTAAGTTCGATCATCCCTAAGCACTCTGCATTTGCGGCCTTGTGTTACGCTTTGTAAATCATTATTTGGCCAAACTCTTTTTAAGCAAGATTTCTAATGAAGGCCGGCGCAAATGTGTAAGTTCCAAAGATCTGAATTGGTTTTCCATTCTTCATCATAACTGAACTTCTCTGGGCTCTTGAAGAATTCTCTGTCCAAGATGAGTGATGTCTTCTGACACGTTTCCCCTCGTGTCGGAAGAATAAATATGGACAGGGGTTTCGTGACTGTGGCCGAATGACGGAAGCAAAAATTTGGCCGGTTCCTGAAGAAAGAAAAAAAGGCAAACGATAAAATGCTTGAAACATGTAACCCAAAATCTCTGCAGAGTTGAGTATTGTTGTTGGTGTTGTTAATGTAAATGGAAAAACAAAATCTTACACAAATGCAATAGATAGGATCAGATCCTGAGAGACGGGGAAAAATTGAAAGAAATAAAGAAGGAGAATGCAAAAAAGAATGACTTACAGATAGAAGGAAGGAGAGAGAAAAAGAAAAAGAAAAAGAAAAAAAAGAGGGCTTCAAAAAGAAAACGATGCAGGATGAAAAATTGAGAAAGAAAAAGAAAACGAAAGAAGATGGGAAAATAGAGGATGAAAGGGTGCAATTGACGGGAAAATAGAAGAAGAAAAGGGGGGAAAATAAAGGAAGGGTACAGAAAGAAGATGGGAAAAAATAGAGGAAGAAAGGGTGCAGAAAGAAGATGGGAAAAATAGAAAGAAAATTTGCACAGGAAGAAGACGGGAAAATAGAAAGAAAGGGAAAGAAGAGGGGTAGAGGAAGAAAGAAGAAAGAAGACGGGAAAATAGAAGGAAAAATAGAAAGAAAGGAAGGAAGAAGAGGGAAAATAGAAAAAAGGGTGCAGAAAGAAGATGGGAAAATAGAGGAAGAAAGGGGTAGAGAAAGAAGACGGGAAAATAAAAAAGGGTGCAGAAAAGAAGATGGGAAAATAGTGCAAAGAAAGAAGACGGGAAAATAGGAAAATAGAAAGAAGATGGGAAAAAGAGGGGAAAGGGTGCAGAAAGAAGACGGGAAAATAGAGGAAGAAAGGGGTGCAGAAAGAAGATGGGAAAATAGAGGAAGAAAGGGGTGCAGAAAGAAGACGGGAAAATAGAGGAAGAAAGGGGTGCAGAAAGAAGATGGGAAAATAGAGGAAGAAAGGGGTGCAGAAAGAAGACGGGAAAATTGAAAGAAAGAAGATGGAAAATAGAAAGAAAGGGTGCAGGAAGACGGGAAAAATAGAAGAAGAAAGAAAAAAGATGGGAAAATAGAAAGAAGACAGAAAATAGAAAAGGGGTACAGGAAGAAGACAGGGGAAAATAGAGGAAGAAAGGGGTGCAGAAAGAAGATGGGAAAATAGAAGAAGAAAAGAAAGAAGATGGGAAAAAGAGAAGACGGGAAAATAAGAAGAAAATAGGGAAAATAGAGGAAGAAAGGGGTGCAAAAGGGCTTAAGCAGAAAGAAGATGGGAAAATAAAATAGAGGAAGAAAGGGGTGCAGAAAGAAGATGGGAGGAAAATAGAGGATGGGAAAATAGAGGGAAGAAAGGGTGCAGAAAGAAGATGGGAAAATAGAGGAAGAAAGGGGTGCAGAAAAGATGGAAACGGGAAGAATAGAAAGAAGAAGAAAATAGAGGAAGAAAGGGGTGCAGAAAGAAGACGGGGGTGCAAAAATAGAAGAAAATAGAGGAAGAAAGGGCAGAAAGAAGATGGGAAAATAGAGAAAGAAAGGGAAGATGGATAGAAAGGAGGAAGAAAGGAAGACGGGAAAATAGAGGAAGAAAGGGGTGAAAGAAGATGAGAAAATAGAGGAAGAAAGGGTGCAGAAAGAAGATGGGAAAATAGGAAGAAAGAAAAGACGGGGTGCAGAAAGAAAACAGGAAGAAAAATAGAGGAAGAAAGGGGTACAGGAAGAAGACGGGAAAATAGAGGAGAAAGGGGTGAAAGAAGATGGGAAATAGAGGAAGAAGGGGTGCAGAAAGAAGATGGAAAATAGGGAAAATAGGGTGCAGAAAGAAGACGAAAATAGAGGAAGAAAGGGGTGCAGAAAGAAGATGGGAAAATAGAGGAAGAAAGGGGTGCAGAAAGAAGATGGGAAAATAGAGGAAGAAAGGGGTGCAGAAAGAAGATGGGAAAATAGAGGAAGAAAGGGGTGCAGAAAGAAGACGGGAAAATAGAGGAAGAAAAGAAGATGGGAAAATAGAGGAAAAGGGTGCAGAAGAAAAATAGAGGAAGAAAGGGTGCAGAAAGAAGATGAGAAAATAGAGGAAGAAAGGGGAAGATGGGAAAATAGAAAGAAGACGGGAAAATAGAAGAAAAGAAAGGGGAAAATAGAGGAAGAAAGGGGTGCAGAAAGAAGGGAAAATGGAAAAAAAGGGCAGAAAGAAGAAGATGGAAAATAGGGGAAGAAAGGGTGCAGGAAGAAGACGGGAAAATAGAGGAAGAAAGGGGTGCAGAAAGAAGATGGGAAAATAGGGAAAAAGGTGCAGAAAAGAAGACGGGAAAAATAGAGGAAGAAAGGGGAAAGAAGAAAGAAGAAAGGGGAAATTTTGGCAGGAAAAGACGGGAAAATAGAGGAAGAAAAGATGGGGAAAATAGGAAGAAAAAGGTGCAGAAAGAAGCAAATAGGAAGAAATAAGATGAAAAATAGAGGAAGAAGGGGTGCAAAGAAGACGGGAAAATAGAAAGAAGAAAGAAGATGGGAAAATAGAAGAAAGGGGTGCAGAAAGAAAGGGGAAGAAAGGGGTGCAGGAAAATAGAAGAAGAGAAAATAGAGGAAGAAAGGAAAGAAGATGGGAAAATAAAGAGAAAGGGGTGCAGGGAAAAAAATAGAGGAAGAAAGGGTGCAGAAAGAAGACGGGAAAAAAGGTGCAGAAAGAAGGGGAAAATAGGGGAAAGGCAGAAAGAAGATGGGAAAAAGGGGTAGAAAGAAGAAAAAATAGGGAAGAAAGAAGACGAAGATGGGAAAATAGAGGAAGAAAGGGGCAGGAAGAAGACAGAGAAGAACAGAAAGAAAACGAAAATAGAGGAAGAAAGGGGTGCAGAAAGAAGACGGGAAAATAGAGGAAGAAAGGGGTGCAGAAACGAAGAGAAAATAGAAGAAGAAAGGATGCAGGAAAAGATAAAAAAGGGGTGCAGGAAGAAAAAAAAATAGAGGAAGAAAAAAAAGAAAAAAGAAGATGAAGAAAAATAGAGGAAGAAAGGGGTGCAGAAAGAAGATGGGAAAATAATAAGAAAAAAAGAAGAAGACGGGAAAATAGAGGAAGAAAGAAAAAAAGACGGGGAAAATAGAGGAAGAAAGGGAAGAAGACGGGAAAATAGAAAGAAAGGGGTGAGAAAAGAAGACGGAAAATAGAGGAAGAAAGGTGTAGAAAGAAGACAGGAAGAAGATGGGAAAAGATGGGAAAATAGGAGGAAGAAAAAAGAAAAGGGGGAAAATAGAAAGAAGAGGGAAGAAGAAGAAAAAATAGAGGAAGAAAGGGGTGCAGAAAGAAGAAGAAAGGAAAATAAGAGGAAAATAGAAAAGAAAAGAAAGAAGACAGGAAAATAGAGGAAGAAGAAAGAAGAAGGGGGAAATAGAGGAAGAAAGGGGTAGAAAGAAGACGGGAAAATGAGGAAAAAGTTGCAGAAAGAAGACGGGAAAATAGAGGAAGAAAGGGGTGCAGAAAGAAGACGGGAAAATAGAAGAAGAAAATAGAGGAAGGGGGTGCAGAAAGAAGACGGGAAAATAGAGGAAGAAAGGGGTACAGGAAGAAGAAAAATAGAGGAAGAAAGGGGTGCAGAAAGAAGACGGGAAAATAGAGGAAGAAAGGGGTGCAGAAAGAAGACGGGAAAATAGAGGAAGAAAGGGGTGCAGGAAGAAGACGGGAAAATAGAGGAAAATGAAAAATAGAGGAAGAAAGGGGTGCAAAAAGAAGAAAGAAAGGGGTGCAGAAAAAGACGGAAAATAGAGGAAGAAAAGGGTGCAGGAAGAAGATGAGAAAATAGAGGAAGAAAATGGGTGCAGAAAGAAGAAAATGGGAAAAACGGAAAATAGAGGAAGAAGATGAAGAAAGAAAAACAGGAAAAGAAGAAAGAAAAGAAAGAAGACGGGAAAATAGAGGAAGAAAGATGGGAAAAATAGAGGAAGAAAGGGGTGGAAAGAAGATGGGAAAATAAAAGAAAGGGTGCAAAGAAACGAAAAAGCAATGAACAAAAGGAGGGAGAGACAAAAAGGAAGAAGAGAAAGGAGGCGAATGAAAAAGCCGGAACCTGATGAAAGAGGATGGGGGAAAATAGCAGTGTGCAGGACGGACGCAGACAAAGTGTGCGAGAGAAAGAAATAGAAAATGTAAAGAAGAGAGATGGTGAAAGAGAAAGAAAGCATGAGACAGAGAAAGATAGATGTATGACGAAAGATGGCGTTGAGCAGATCTAAAGTGAAATCAATGACCAAATAGTTACTGTTCAATCACTACAAAAAATCCTCATTATATACTTCAACAATTAGCATTGACTGATAAACCCTTGTACAAATTAATTAAGACAACTGCTTTAGTTTCCTTTCTTTCGCCATACGGTCAGTTGTAGACGCACTGGTTTGACAGGGTGTAATCAATTTCTATTTTTTCTCAGGTCATTTGCAGTGTTCGCAGTAATATGAATCTATTTTCAGGGTGTATGATGAATTTTGTTTAGCCTGGAAAAACATTGCGACATCAGTGATTGCATCAGATTTTTATCACGCTAGTCACTAGTGTCTCGGTTGTCGATTAGTTATCCTACGGCATTGTCTGCGATGGAAGATACTCCAAGGAAGCGTTCAAAAATTGTAACGCTGCACAAACACACTGGCAAGCTTTACTAGTGAGCAAATGAAAGTACAATAGACAGGCCTGGAAACTCTACTGATTTAAATCCAATCGAGAATCTGTGGTCAATCTACAAGGAACGACTTCATGGAATGGGCATACGAAGTACTAACATGTGCACTGGGTCATGTTTCATTGGAAAAATACGAAAAAGTAAAAAATAAGAGAATTCTTAGTTTTGTTTCAATTAATTTACACTATGGTGTATATCATCACGTTGGGAAATTTTATGACGAATCGGCAAACGTTTATTTTATAAAGCGTTTCATTCTTCAAAACTTCATCGGATTAAATATGTTATGTTGAAACATATATATATATATATATATATATATATATATATGTGTGTGTGTGTGTGTGTGTGTGTGTGTGTTTAGTTGGATTAATGTGAGTTTATGACCCTAGGCTTCACGCTATTTGCGATCGTCAGACAGACACACACACACACACACACACACACATATATATATATATATATATATATATATATATATATATAAAAAAAAATCGAAAATATCCGATTACTTTTTTAATTTGTAGGTTTGATGAATTTGATCGTGATTACGATTCCAGTGTAATAAATTATAACTTTGGAATATTAGTGTTTGAGCCTTTTATATTATATTGTTGCTCTGTCCTGGACATTGAGCTCCTGGATTCTATCCTCTTGAAAATTTATATATATATCATATATATATATATATATATATATATATATATATATATATATATATATATATATATATATATATATATATATATATATATTTCAGAATATATATATATATATATATATATATATATATATATATATATATATATCTTTCTGAAAAGTAAAATGTAGTGTAGGAGGCAGGGCATTTCGTGAATGCCTAACCAAGACACTGTACTAGTTTACAGTGCCATGAGAACCCGGCAGCTCCCAGCCGAGAAGCTCATCGCCTTACTGGAACAACTTCCATATTAAATGGATCTTGTTCTGTGTGCTTTTTCTCTTTTTCTCAAGCTCAAGTCGATCATGAAGTGGATCCGTTTTGAATGCGAGGAAGCCATCAACACGGCCGTAATGACAGGGCTTGGGGACATCCAAGATCAATCCTTCCAGCAGTCCATAGAAGTGTCGGAGGGACGGCTGGGAAAGTGCATTAGACTCGAGGGGGACTAATTTGAAGAGGAAATGATATAGTTTGTTGTTTGGAATTTAAATAAATAGTTTGTAGCACTAGTCTCTTTACTATTCAGACAGTCCTCGTATATTCGTAGTTACTAATGAAAACCTAAAAACAATTAAATGTAATAATAATAATAATTAATAACAAATAATTAAGTAATCAAGAATAAATAATGAGGTAGAAAATAGCAAACAACACTATAAACTTGCTTTAAATGGCTGCATTCGGATCCACAATTATTTCCACTCATTAGCCGTCTAGCGAACACCCCTAGGATAATTCAATAGACCTTGATACCCATAATGCACTATTGACAGCATATAGAAAGAATCGAGCCAAAACACAACACACAAGGTCTGAAGATTCGTTCATGCATGAAACAGATCGTCACCGGTTGGTGTTGACCTCAGTTTTATATTTACATACTCTCTATCTATGATATCATTTTTATCCATAGATGAAGTATAATATTGATACTATATGTTTATCGTATATATATATATATATATATATATATATATATATATATATATATAATATACTAATATAATTTATATATATATATATATATATATATATATATATATATATATATTTATAAAAGAATTATATAAGAATATATATATATATAAGAAATTTACAATATATATATATATATATATATATATATATATATATATATATATATATATATAGTTTCATGTATGCACAAATATATGATTGGTGTATACGGGCATTTATAGCATATTTATGTTATAATTTTGAATAAATAATTATGATTTTATAACATATTTATGTTATATTTTTTAAATAAATAATCGTATATATAAAAGTGAACATAGAAGTCAACAACACTTAGAGGCGACCGTCTGTTTCATGCTAGATGCTATCGTCAGGCCAGGAGTGCTGTTATTTTTCTCGGCTATTTATATATATACGGGTCAGTGGTGCATCGTGGGTAGTCTATTTTGGCGGTTATTTTGAAGTCATTTATTTGTTTATTTATTTATTTGGGTTAAATTATTTTGTTTCTGTTTATTAATTTTTATTTTTTTAATTTATCTTATATATTTATTTATTTATTTTTTACTTGGTGTTTTTATTAACGTAGTAAAAATTTGTTTATATCGTTTATTTAATAGTTTTGTTTTGGTTTCGGAAGATAACTAAAGCTATTTATTCTATTTTGGAGTTGATTGTTGTAGTTTACTCTAACTATTATTTTGGCGGGAACAGTTTTTAATTTGTTTATTACTTCATGTATTTATTTGGATTGATTACCTTTATTTGTTTTTTCTAACGATTAGTTTATCGGGATCGGTTTGTTAGTTTATTTATTTATTTGGATGAATTTAGGTCAATTTATTTTATTTGTTATTATTTATTTGTTATACTGTATATTTTCTACTTTTGGTTTCGATTTTTAAGTAACGTAGTATTTTTTTTATCGTTATATAACAGTTATAGCCATTTTTTCGTCTGATTTTTTGGTTTGATTTTTATAGTCTAACTAATATTTTGGTCATAATGGTTTGCTAATTTGTTTATTATTTACTTTATTTATTTCGGTTCATTGTTTTTTTTTTTTTATTCTATTTCGTCTATTCTAACAGGTGTGATTTGATAATTTGTTTGGATTAATTAATTTTGCTTATTTTATTGTTATTTTGTTTATTTATTTATTTTTATTTATTTTTTCCGTTTTCGATTTTTAAGTAACGTAATAAAAATTTGTTTTCATGTCTACATTTTGAGATAAGCTCGGGTCTTTTATTTAATAATTTATTTTGGTCTGGGAAAGTAATGATAGCTATTTTTTCCTCCAAGCAAAGTTTGCAAGTTTTTGATTGGTTGTTATAGGCTGATGATCTTTCCCTTATTTTCCAAGATATTTTTGGTGTGATGTGCGTTTTATTTTTAATTTCCCAAATATACTTAGAAAGCATTGTGCTGTTCGCATATTTACTATTTGTGAAAGATGTTTTGTATGTATAATTTCTTTGTTTCCAGGGTTTTTCAGTTACTCCTATGTATACTTTTTCTTCATTATCTGGTGATTTTATCGTGGCTTGGTATATTACGTTGTTTTGTAAACAATTACCGTTTAAGGGACATTCGTACTTTATTCTGCAGTTGCACGTGGGTTTAATTTGTTCGTGTGGTTTGTTGGTAATTTTCCTGTTGTGCTTTTTTATTATTTGTGCCATGTTCTCGGTGCAGCTGTAGCTGATTTTTACTGAGATTTTGTTGAATATTTTGTGTAGGGTGCTTGATTCCGGGAAGTGTTTGTGTAAGAGTTGGAAGAATATTTTTCCTACGTTTTTTTTTACGTTTTTGTTGTACGGTGGGTTGAACCATATGATATTTGTTTTCCTGTTGGCCTTTTCTGTGTTCTGTGGTGAGTATGTGAGAGTTGCTGGGAATCTACTATCTTTTAGGGCTGTTTCATAGTCTTTCTTAGCTTTGTTAAATGTGGATTCATTGGAGGAATTGTCAGAAAGCCTGCGGTTAATCACGTGTTCTGTAACCTGATAAGGATTATAGGGGTTCCGCAGCCGCAGTAGCAGTGGTGTGTTCTGGGCAAGCTAGACTGACAGAGACGAACGCTTTCCAGGCTAGTTTGAAATCGGAGTTTCAGTCTCCTAGATTAGTCGCCATGGGCTATAAGACCCAGCCTGTCCTGCTATTTAACCCTAACTAGAGGCAGATGGATATATACCTTTCCCTAGATTATTAGCACGTAAGTGAATATAATAAACTCGACTGGAATTCGAACTCATCTCCTTGATTTCTTATTTCGTAAATCGGAGAGTCGAGTTCCAATTCCAATCGTATTTGTTATATTCACTTACTCGCAAATACCCTTAGGAAAGATATGAATGCATCTCATCTCCCCTCCAGCTATGGATTAATTAGTAAGAATTGTATCAGTAAATCATTATTATCTCCGAATATTTTTTGTTTGCTGTCCTCATCTTTATTTTATTTTATTTTCCAATTCACGACCTTTCGGCCGATATATGCACCGGCCTTCTGCCATGCCAGACTGTGGATTAAATAAGGGGTTCGGTTCAAAATTCCAACGTATATCACCTGTAAAAGGCCGGAGCGTACAACAGTCGAAATGACGTGAAAATGTCAATAAAGATGAGGGTAAAGGTCAACACTGTAAATAGAGCAAATAGTTAAAATACCTCATCTCAGAAATATAGACAGAGGTTGCAAAATGTTGATAATTCGTAAAAAAAAGATCAATCAATCCTCCTGTTTTCAATATGTTTGAAGCTCTCTTTTCTCGTGATGGGACACTGAAATGTCAACGGTCTCTTTCTAGATTACATTGTCTTTAAAACTTCTCACTATATCGATCGTAGTCACAACAACCGTGCGTGAAATCACATTTCTGTAGCCTTTAGTCACTTTTCCAGCTGTCAGCAAATTGTCCAGTATTAACTGATGTATAAGAGAAATTCTATATATGAATAAAGTGTCACTGTCGACACTTGATTTTGACCATAGATCGCCAGAGAGTAAACACAAGCGATCCCATTATTAATTAAAATGGATCGATAGAGGAAACGTATATATAGGAAGTCGTGTGGCGTCTATATGACCCACATTCTATTCTATCCTCTATTACTATTTGGATCCCTATTTCTAGTCTATCCTCTATTACTCTACGGATAGCTTTTCTCTATTCACTATACTATTTCTCTAATTGTATCACTAAACGGATTATTATTCGAGCGAGTATTATCGAGCAAATACTATTAGTGCGAGTGTTATTCGAAGGTGTCTGACACCAGTATAGTTCAACGGCGTTACTATAAATTGTATCTGCGATTACAATGTCTCTACTACAATGAACATTACGAAAGTGACAACGAATATCCATTGGCATTATAAAAAGAAGAGACAAAGCATAAACTACAAGACAGAATGAATGGTCATCAGTAATACAAAAATTTGATCCCTAAATGCGATTTACGAGCCGGAGACACTAAAATCAAGCAGGTGCGGAAATTTAAATATCTGGGAAGTTTTCTGTAAGTGCGACCCTAGATACGAAGACATATTGGGATGGCCAAAGGCACATTCCAAAAGCTAGGCATCGTATTACGAGACAAGATGATTTCGTTGACAACAAAGAAAAGAGTACTGAACTGCTACGTGATTTCTGTCCTCCTTTACGGCAGCTAATGTTGGACGGTCTCCTCAAAGATGAAGAAGAGACTCGAGGCAGCAGAGATATGGTTCTACAGAACGATGCTAAGGATACCATAGACCAGGCATGTGAGCAACAATGAGGTTTTGGAGAGGATGCAAAGAAGGAGAAAACTTATACTTAAAATCAGAAAGAGGCAGCTGAAATTTCTGAGAAAGGAGAACTTAAAGAATCTGTTACTCACAGGGCGGATAGAAGGAAAGAGAAACAAGGGAAAGCAATGAATGACATACCTAGCAGGTGTAAGCAAGTGGATAACGTAACATGGTTTGGGAGAAGTAGCAAAAGGTCAACACATATAAAGAGCTGCAAGGAATAGGGAAAAGTGGAGAGCCATGATCGCCTACGCCCGTAAAAGAAGAAGACAGGAGGAAAGGTATGGCATAGCAATTTAGCCCTCATTTGATTTTGTTTTGAAAGATTTCTTATTGTTAATAATTTGCTTTAATTTCCGGGAGGCATATTTTAATATAATTGCGTTATTGAAGGCCTTTGTTTAAAATGTCATGGCTGCAAGCAATGCAAAAACCTTCAAGAAGAGGAAAGTGTTGAAACCTAAGTTGAAAATTTAATATTTACAAGACACTACAAGATACTGATATCGCGAGGCTTTTCTAAAGATCATTGTTGATTTCTTAGGTACAAATTGACGTTATTAATTCTTCAGATGTTTGTCATCTTTATTTTCCTAATATTCCAGATTGGACTGAGGCTCGATGATTTGGGTGAGAGATCAATATGTTCAGCTCTTAGAAGAGTTACCCAATTTCATATATATTGAGATAGATAGATAGATATGGACAGGCTGGAATATATATATATATATATATATATATATATATATATATATATATGTGTGTGTGTGTGTGTGTGTGTGTGTGTGTGTGTGCACGCGTGCGTGTGTTTATATATATATTAATTATATAACAGAGAAATCTAAAACAGACAGATAGATAAATAGATAGATAGATAGTTAGAAAGATAGATAGATAGATAAAGGTGTATATTTATAGAATTACACTGATAAAGATGTAACGTTATATAAAAAATATATAAAAAAGTTTAAAGGTCTTCATAAAAAGCATATGAAAAGATACAGAGACAGGAATAGACTAAGATAGATAGATAGATAGATAGATAAGAACAGGCACAGATAGATAGATAGATAGATAGATAGATAGATAGATAGATAGATAGAAAGAGGTAGCTGAAATTTCTGAGAAAGGAGAGCTTAGAGAATCTGATACTCACATAGATATATATGAGCAGATGAAACAGATACGAAGATATTAAAATCAATAGAGAGATAAAGAGAAAAAGGATAAATATGAATAGACAGAAAAAGAAGCGGTTAAACTTTTGTGGCTTAACCGCGGATTTAGCAGTGTTAGAGAAATATGACGTAATGCTCTGCCATCAGTTGAACAGTTGTAGGGAAAAATGACTTAATGCCTAGACACCGGTTGAACAGTGGTAGAGAAAAATGATGTCATGCCCAGCCACCGGTTGAACAGTGGTGGAGAATAATAATTTAATACCCAGTCACCGGTTAAACGGTGGGTAAACAGTTGTAACTATTTTTATATCTACCGTGAAACATTACATACCAATTATTGGTGAATTCTGACACAGGAGCTCAGGCAGAAGGGTAGAAATTGTTCTGGAACGCAAGACTCAAAGGGTTACAGACTGCTAGATATTAACAAACAAATATAGGTGCACTATAGACGAAAGAAGAATCACCGACAAATTAAAATTTGCGTGCATTTTTTAAAATTAATATACAAGCTCACTTCAAGCCAGGAGGAGTTTACTTAATGAAGTCTTCTTAAAAAATTAAACTTTAACCCCTTTTGCCTAATCTAACTTATTGGATAATGGCAATATTAGCATTGTCAGATTTTAAAATTTTAAAATTTAAGTAACCCATTTTCTAAAGAAATGGTTACTATTCACAAATAAGTCAAATAGTTTCAGCATTCTAGTTTCGTAGAAGTTAATTAAACCCAAGAAACTAGTAAACTAACTAATTATTAAATCCAGTATGTGTCCCTAAACTTTTACCACACAGTGTTCACACACACACCCACGCACACGCACACACACACACACACACACACACACACACACACATATATATATATATATATATATATATTTGTGTGTGTGTGAGTGTGTGTCATTCGGAGACAGTACTGTTTCGCTGTGTTTCTTCAGTGCGACTAGACAACCAAATGCTTCAAGCCCGGATTGAAACCCAACCGATTTGGTGTTAGAGTCTCTACCACTGAATTATCTTCACACAACAGATTGTGTCATCCAAATCTAGCTTATTGTTTTTACAAATGTAAACAAACGCCTAACAACCGAAGTGCTCCATTCATTTTTGCTGAAAAGCTTCGCATTAATGCAGGTGGCTGTTGTTTTCTGAATTAGCATGTCATTCAACAGTGCTCAGTTGAAAATGTATTTTCTTAAACCTAAATATATATATATATATATATATATATATATATATATATATATATATATATATATATATATATATATATATATATATACCAGGTTAAAATAGACTATCCCCATGGGGAGTTAATTTTATTTTGCGGTAAAAAACATATGCTCTGTTATAATAAATACATCGAATTCTCTGTGATCAGTTTTAATAATTAATATTAGTAGGATCCACCCGGATTATATACTAGCTGATCGATTACCTGTACTATATATATATATATATATATATATATATATATATATATATATATATGTACCAGGTAAATTCAAAATTTTTTGCCGATTTTTATAAAGGACAGACTTTTTCTTTTTCTTTTTCTCATAATCTTAGTTCTCCGTTAATAGTTCTGACGAGAGGGGACGAAACCGGTAGACTGGTGTGTGTTTTATTTAAACTTATCATGGCCTACAATAAAAAATTTCTAGTCTTTAATGCCTTAATATATATATATATATATATATATATATATATATATATATATATATATATATATATATATATGCACGGTACTTAGTGGAAAGTGCTCAATATCTGTGATAGTGCAAACATATTCAGTTGTATGACTATAAGTTTGTAATCCTGGGTTTCACGCTTTTGCATGCATATAAGAGGCAGGTTGGAGTAGCGGTTCGTATTGAGGAATCGGAGAGCTTATTTAGAAATTCAGTCGAAGACATTATATTCACTTATGTGTTAATAACCTTTGGAATGGTATTAATCCTCTTCTTTTCCCTCCAGCTATGGGTATATAGCAGGGCTGATTGGGTTCTATAGCCTTGATGGCAAGCGGCCTAGGAGAAGGACAACTCTGAATTCAAAAACCTGCGAAGTGTTGTTCCTAGAACTGAGCTGCTTGACCCCCATACGTTGAATGTATATATATATATATATATATATATATATATATATATATATATATATATATATATATATAATTATTTATTTAAAAATATGATTCCAACGAACTTTGTATTATTTACCGAACGAGTTCTTTCGTATTTTCTATATCATTTTACACACACACACACATATATACATATATATATATATATTTACATAATATATATAATATACATATACATATTTATACATAATATGTATATACATAATATATATACATATATATATATATATATGCACACACACACGCACACATATATATATATGTGTGTGTGTGTGTGTGTGTGTCATGATTTACTGTGTAAAAATAATATCTTTTTCCTGAATATTGTTTCATAAATATCTACGAAACATATTCATTTACCAACTATAAATTTTACTTCCATGTTGTCGATGACCAAATAAAATCAGCCTTAACAAAATTTAGTAGAAAATAATACAAGCAATCATCCTGATTTAAACAAAAATAAAACTTTTATTCTGTCTTAATCAGATTAACCCAAACTACGACCAAGATGAAAAATCTATTAAAAATCTAATTCGCAGGCAACTATAACTTAATGGCCTCATCAAATATATTAGATTTAACATTTAATGTAATAAATTTAAAACAGCTAAAATGTTTATTACTTGTAACTCAGCATTTCCCAAATCTCTCTAAGTTTTCAACAATAGTGTCTATCAATTCTTTTATTCTCTGGAATAATGTATTTCGAATATCAACAACAAAAACGATTAACTTCTTACACTGGCTAGAGATGCACTAAACACTTTCGTAGGTTGACTTGTCATTCATCAAAAAGTGGTGTAATTTGTACACATATTGATCATCACTTCACAAACAACAAAAATACAACTATCAACAAGACAAATATTGGTGGTAAATACTAAAGTACTATATAGTACCTAATTCGAGGACGATTCTAGAAAATTTCTAAAATTCTCGAAAACATTATTATGCAAAAAGAAAATAAACACATTACGTAACTTTCAGCATGAGTGATAAATGATGTGGGTAGAGCAAGTCCGCGCAACAAACTTTGCACTGGCGTCGATATTCCATTGCCCCTCCCTAGTGCAATGAATGTGCTGTTGCGGGGTTGGAATCCGCAGGACTAGGCATCTCTTTTATACTTTTTCCTGTGATCTGTCCGAAGATACATGTTCAGATATAATAGTAATCCTCTACGCAAAATGCAGAGATTTCACTACACTCAATTTAGTTATTCATAAGGTAATTCGGAATAATATTATATATTCATATATACATTGTCATCCAAGACAGACTGTTTCGCAGTATCACAGCTCATCAGTGTGGCTCGATATCCGTTGCCTCTCGCTAGGATCGAAACCCGACTGAATTGGCGTCAGTCGGGGGATTCTACAACTAAGCCATTGACACACGGCAGGAAGGAAGGTGAATTTAAGCGTATTTATCTTTAGGTAAACACACGGTGACTGAGAGAACTCGATTCGATTTACCGAAAAGTCTTGCATTATTAGCCGTAATAGCCACTGTTTACAAACCCACACTTCCTCTCCAGAGAGCTCAACTAAAATAAATCTTTCAGGAGCACATATATATATATATATATATATATATATATATATATATATATATATATATATATATATATATATATATATATATAAAAATCAACAGTATTTCATATCAACCTATCTAATTTTTAATTAATCGGGTAAAGGTAAAAAAATATGCGCAGTGTTTAGTAAATATTTAATATAGGTACAAAATGATAATACGTATAATTTTTGACAAATTCTTATCCGGTCTGCTTCTCGTCCGATTTAACCATTTCCCAAGACGTCACATTGGGATGATTCAGATCCCAACTCTTAAAGATGACATGCCGTTCTAGCTGATAAATCTATCTATCTATCTATCTATCTATCTATCTATCTATCTATCTATCTGTATCATCGCATGCAAGGGAGTAAAACCACTAAGACACAAGGGGTTACAGGGTGAGGAAGAATTAGGAACAGAATCATTAATAATAAGCGCGAAGACAAAAGAATGATCAGTAGGACCGTTGATAGTGATTGACATCGCATTTATATTCTTGCTGATTAAAGTTGGCTGGAAAGCCTAGAGCCAAAAGGGAGTTCCCCAAGAGATATGTACGTGAAAAGAAACGCTTAATATAGAATGTACGGTTAAATCTAGCAAGCTCATTTGTAAATTGATGAGATTTCGACGCCAGTCTCGTGATGGGCTTACATTCAAAAAGCCTAGTTACCACAGCGAAGGGCGATATTTATTTCCGATTCAATACAGAAAAATGTGGCACAAGGCATACTATATCGAAGAACTCATCCAAACAATTACTATGAAAGTATTTATAGAAAAGACACAGAGAGGCAAGCTTACGTCAGTGGGAAAGTGATAATATTGCAGATTCTTCTTTTCGATTTTATCTATCTTTGTATGTTAAGAAAGAAAGATCAGAGGAAACAGACAGACAATCAGATAGATAGATAGATAGATAGATAGATAGATAGATAGTGAACAGAATGAGATAGATAGATAGATAGATAGATAATTAACAGAATGAGATAGATAGATAGATAGATAGATAGATAGATAGATAGATAGATAGATAGATAATGAACTGATTCAGATAGATAGATAGATTCTATTTATTATTGTAAAATACAATAATTGTGGCACATGGCCTTAAAGTGGGGGTTGGGGTTGAGGTTGGTCATCCTTACCTATCCTATACCTAGCTAACCCGATTCACGACCCATTCATTCAATACAAATCACCCATTCACCAAAAGAATTCACCCTTTACCTTTTACTCCGACATATACCACAATACCACATTCACAATGGGACCCTAAAAAATAAACCCCATGTTATAAAATCTAAATAGATAGATAGATAGAATCAGTGATTGGTAAATAGATAATGAATAAAGTGTATTTGGAATACTATTCTTGTAGTGTAGAATGAATGGCATTGCGTGATAGACTGATATTTCGATCGAAAGAAATCAGTGTTAATAGAAAGAAAGTTCCAGAATAAATGAAAGGAAATTAAAAACAACAAAGATAGAAAGATAGAAAAAAAAACAAGTAAACATGAAAAAGAAAGAAAGAAAGAATCTAAAGAAGTAACTCATTATAATAAACGTTACCTGGAGGAAAACCCGCATTAATAATTTCCCCAAAATTTCTTTTAAGAAGAGGTCAGAGTTCATATAACTTATTTCGGCTGATCGATATACAGGGGAGATAGCAAAACAACAGCGGTATGAATAATCACTCTCGCTGATTGCATTCTATAAAATTCCCCGTAAATGACTTAAAATCCAGACTTATATCTCCTGACTAGCCTCGTCCGTGCGTCTGTTTAATCAACAAATACAGCATTATTGAAACAAGGCCGACATCGTAGTAAATTGTCTGCGCGATGAGCACTTGTCGATTGCGCTACTGGAGATGAGAATGGGTCTATTGTGTTATTCTTGTGTAGGCCGTTTAATCTTCCATTGGATAAAATTCAAGCAGACATGACAACAACACCAGTAATGGCATAACTAATCTCAACGTTCGACTCTTGTGAGAATCACTGTCCAAGTCTTGAAGTGTCCTCGGGGACGCTGGTGTATAAAACGGAAAGAAATGATATAAATGGCCAATAATACACAGGATTTAACCGGCCGACCAATCAACTAACCCGTTGAACAAACAAAAACTGGACTGCGCATGCGTACATGAACAACTTACGGTCGGTAGACATTTTATTAGGACTAACTTAGTATGATAGAAGGCTATGTATTTTAGTGTTTTAGTTGTTCGTTTTAGAGTATACTGGTATACTAGGGTGAATAAAACATAATAGCGAGTTTTAAAAAAGTCCATATACAAAATTACTGTGTTTATGTTTCGCATCCACAAATAGAGCAGATATAATATCGAAAAGGTCCCAACGGGAGTTTTGTATTTCTTAAGTAGGTCAATAAACATTGCGTTGCAAGCACTTAGGCTCCCCATTGTGCTATATCCCGAAACCTTGGGGGTGCAAGTGTGGAATCTTCCACAACAAACCAGCCTTACCTATTTTTTGGAAATGCACTCTTCCTATCTGGTAAGTAAAATTCTACTTTCATACAATATAACAAGTATTCATTGGTCAATCACCTCCAATCTAGCTTGCTGATTGGTCAGTTCCGACCAATCAAACCGCCTGCACGCGACCAATCTGTTTTCCCGCTCATATGCTAGGAGCCACTTCACCATTATATAAACCGAACACGTGTGAACCTTTTGAGTAGTAGTTACCAAGTGCCAAGATGTAACCTTCACTTACTCACGTCTTAGTCATTACTGACCAGACGTTAAAGACAATTACCAACATTCACGAACTCTGAAATCATGTCTGAATTTTTACCAACTTTGCAAACTCACAATTCCAAACTTTCTTAATATGAACTCAGGTACAACTAATACCTAATCAAAGGGACGCGACTCTGTCCTACTTTTTCAGTTCACATTCATGTACATCAAACATTAATAAATCTAATTGTTATGCTTTGGAATCATTCAGTTCAGTTTTGTGTTTTATTCTATGTGCTATTTACGTCAAGTATAAATTGCATTGCTTTCACGCATTGTCCTTAATCTCATCTTTCCTAGCCCAAGTTAAATATTGGCAACTCAATCACTACAACGATGATAATACAACAGCTACGTATTTAATGATCCCGTCGGAAATAAACAACAATGGTAAGCCTATCACTACAATATATTGGATCACGTCGGGGTCACCAATATATATTTATATATATATATATATATATATATATATATATATATATATATATATATATATAAAACAAGTATATGTATTAAACAACAAAATTCACAATGGACAAAGACATCAACGGTTGTGTTTGTGTGTGAACGTAAAGAGTTCGTATTTTGGTGCATGTTCGTACGTACGTGTATGTGTGTGTATGTTTAGATAGCATTTTCCCACAAGTGGGCAAAACGCAGAACTCTGCAAGAGATCACATCTTTTAAATGTGTCCACTGAAATGCAAAGTTAAAAGAGAACGAGGCAAGAAATCGCCCAGTGTTTATAGTGTAGGGAGAGCGTGCCCTAGTGAAAGTTAGGAAATTAAGGAGGAGATAACTCCGACAAGTGTATCATCGTCATGATAGGGCAAAGTTCAATAATTTATTTAAGTGATGTACACTTCCCGTGTAACCTATGTGTTAGGGGCTATAGTAGTGATTTCCTAATGGAAAAAGGAATACAGGTTCGATTCCTGTTGGGAGGCAGATTTTTCTTTAATCGGACATTTCGATCTCTTCTGGTTGACTTTAATGTCACAGCTTAAAAAAGTATCATCGATATCAAATCAAACATTTATAACCAGTAAAAATAACCCTTTATAGTCATAAAAGATAACGATGGATTAAAACAGGGATCGGCAACCTTTTGGAGAGGGCGGGCCAGTCAGCTAAGCAGTGTCTCAAGAGGGGATGATATCAATTTCTCAATCCCAGATCGCTCCGTCCAAAAGACTGCCTTTGTCTGACGGCTTAAAGAAAAAATTGCGATGTTAGTGTTGCATTATTTAAACAAAGTTCTTTATCGCAGGAATAACAGGATAAAAACAAACACAATCAACAAAAAGTGAAAATTCCTTATTACAGACGAAATAAATTTAGAAACCGTAAATTATTTATTGAGACACTTATTTCTGTTTATCGTTCGATAACTTCTTATCAGGTAAAATATTTGTCGATGACAGAAGCAAAACGTCATCCAGGTGGCTATCTTCCAGACTTGCTCTTAAACGATATTTCGTACATTTCATTTTCGAAAAAAAGTTGTTCGCAAGCATATATACTTCCATAATAATGACACCATTATTTTCGGATTATTGACAAAACATATTTTTTGTAAAAGTCAGCAGTCAATACGGAATTAAATTTTGATTTAAAAAGAAATCATCTCATT